GGAGATGGATAATATCAAAAATTCATTAATAGACGTCAACAGACGAATGAAATTCCTCATGGAAGAATCTGAAGATATGAAAATTAGAATTGAGCAATTAGAGGAAATGGTAGAATCTATCAAACAAAATATCAAATTGTTGGTGAAAATCTTTAATTCTCATTCCAAATATACCAAAGAATTGAATGACAGAATTGGTGATATTACTTCACAATTCGAGTCATTAGATACCAAACAGGAAATACCAATTGATACAATCTCAAAAATACAAACAGGTACACAGCCAGGAAGCAGCAGTGGACCCAGCAATATCAAACGAGACATAGCAAGACCCCGGAAGGTGACTATAAAAAATGGTGATGAACATACAAGAGTTATAAGAATCAAAACTGATGAAGATGATGATACACCTTTATCATCAAAAGAAGAAGAATATAGATTATTTGCCAAAATTATTTATGAATTGGAAGAAAATGAATCATATTTTATTGTATCGGGTGATCATGTTTATCCCAGATTAATAATTACCAAAGATACAGACCCTTTCATGATCAAAATGACATCAGATTATGGATTTCTGGATTTGATCTATCCAGGAAAAGATTTAAAAGAACTTGAAAAATTTGATGATCAGGGCAGAAGTTTCAAAATTTGCCCAAGGGAGATCAATTTATATCAAATTTTATTCAATAAGTCCCGAAATTGATGGAAGGATATACTATCCTGCTGAACATATTATCACAATTGGATATGTTGGCCGAAATTTTCAGATTGAAGTTGGCCGAAATAATAAACCATTGCCTAAAATCAATAAATCATGGATAAAATCTCGGAGAGTCTTGAGGATGAAAGTTCTTTACAACATTGCAAAGAACTTATATGATAAAAAATTCAGATGCTTGTGCCAATATGAAGGATGGACACTCCTTATAAATAATGGAAAAGAAAAATCTACCATTTTGAAAGAATATATCCAGAAATTTGATACCCATCAAATTAGTGGAAGTCCAACAACAATCCAAGAACCATGCAGATTGAGGGAGTGACCCACATGTAGACAAAATTGAAAGATTGATGAATGGAAAAGGACCTACCACTACCAAAGCATCTAGCCAGCTGCATATGAAGTCAAAAATGGAAAAGCAATAATAGAAAAGCATTTAGCCGGCTGCATATGGAGCCAAAGATGAAAAGAAAATAATAGAAAAAGATGCCCCTTTGATGGAAAGGCAAAGAATGTATGTGAAAATGTAGACCCTAGGAGGAAAAGAATAGAAAGGCATGTGAGCCTTTTATCAAAATTCTGATGTATGCAATAATGTAATAGATCAATAATAGTGAGTTTGAGTCATGTATAAATAGAGGTCTTTGGGGGAAAGAATGGGACATCTCGACTTAGAAACCATTTTCTTTTCTTAAACTTTCAAAACCAGTTTTTCTGGAAACCCCTTGTATACAATAGAAATCTTGTATAAATCATTATAGAAATAAAATTTCAATCTTTTGATATAAAAAAAATATGAGTTTCAAAACTTCCTATCCCATAGATTTTTGATAGATTGAAGAAGATAATCTCTTTCTTACTTTAACAAAGAGAGAATTTTCTTTACTTAAAATCTTTACTCTTAATTCTAAGAAAAGATACAGTGAGGGCAGAAGCTGAAATAGCAGAATTCCCATTGAGGCAAGAGGCCGTTTGAGGGAGCAGTTTGCAAATTTAGAGCCTGAAGGTCACTCGGTTCTAAGAATACAGATTTAAGATCAAAAGTAAGGTAAAATTATTGTCTTTGTTAAATTTAGAAAGAATTCTTCTAATATCTTGAAAGGATAGTAGGGATTATTACTTTTCATGTTTGCAAAAACTTATCTAACATGTTATTATTATTCATAAAGCTTGCAAGAAATTATCTGAATAATGTCAGGTTATACAATTAAAGGATTAGATAATCTGTTAGAAAAACTATTAATGAAAATAAGAAATATTTTTGCTCAACTAGAGATTATGGATATTTCGTTTAAGGAATATGATAATCTTAGTGAATTACATGACAATTATTTTACAGATTATGCTAATTTATTAGACCAAAGGATGAAACTATATATTAAAACTCGAAAAGAAATAGAGGAATTTCAGAACTATCCCAATAAATTAAGGATATCTTGTGCAAAATATGACAAATCCTTTTATTAAGAATATTATAGACATTTTATCAAAAATAAATAGTGGCGAGTTATTTATAAAAATCTCCCATCGTTTCATCCCCGGCCCAAACCATGTTCTGCTCGTTTTAGCCCCTATCCCGCCCGAAAAAATTAGGGTTTCACTTTTTGTCGTAGAATCAGTTCGAATTCAAGAATTTTGCCTGCCCCAGGACACTTTTTCTCTCGCAATGGCGAAGAAACGAAAACAAAAATCAAATCCTGACAACTCTTCGAATTCAGATTCTTCGAGCGTTTTCAAAACGCTGTTCGGTGAAGCCATTGAAGAGAATGCCCCAACTTTTTCTCTTTTCTCGGAGAATAATCCATTCAGAAGAAAACCCGAAGAAAGTAAAATCCAGAAACCGCAAGATGAATTGGGTTTAGGGTCTCGAGAAAAAGACACTGAAAAGGAGGGTACAGTGGGGAATTTGGATTGTTCTGAGCTGACGGAGAAGAAGCGAAAAAAGAAAGATAAAGAGAAGAAAGACAGTTTGGACTTTGATTTGGAATTGTCAGGGGACAGCACGAAATTGAAGAAAGATCATTCTAAAGGAAGAAAAAACTATGACATTAGTAACTCAGTAGAAAATGGGACTAGTGATGATCTGGATGTGAAAAAGAAGAGAAATTCAGGTTTGGACTCCAAGGGAAATCACGTAGATGTAAATGCCTATATGATGGACTATGGGAAAGATGGAGGTTCAGGTATTGGAAATGAAAATAAGAAGAAGAAACGGAAGAGGGATGAGTTGGAATTGGAGTATGAGGCTAGGCGATATGGGGAGGCAGATGAGAAGGAGAAGGAGAATAATGTGGTAGGAGAGAAGAGAAAAAAAAGGGACAATCCTGAGGATATGATGGTATCAAAGGAAGGTTTTGATGATGAAAATAAGCTTTTAAGGACTGTTTTTGTTGGCAATTTGCCATTGAAGATAAAGAAAAAGGCACTCCTCAAGGAGTTTGCTAAGTTTGGCGAAGTCGAGTCTGTGAGGATTCGGTCTGTTCCAATAATTGATGTAGGTCTTTCTTGCTTGTCCATGTCTTATTGTTGGTAATCTTATGCATCTTCTTATAAATAAACATGAATGGTAATCGTTTTCTCTTGCAGAGCAAAGTACCGAGGAAGGGTGCTGTAATCAAGAAGCAAATAAATGAAAATGCAGACAGGTTTGATATTGAATGAAACTTCTTTTCCTTTTGGTTGATTTGTCTGACTCCGATGATTTATTTGGTTGAGGTCTTGAGAATATTATAATTTTTTTGCTATGAAATTGTTCTATAAATTAATCACTCTATCCACGCTTGCGCAGGACAAAATTCACCATGAAATGTTTACATATATATCAGCTGTTGTGACCTTTTATTAAGCTGCCAAGTTGGGCATTCATTGAAGAATGTGTAGACTGGTTTGTTGAAGTACGTTCACATGCACACTTGTGTGCATGCATCTCTCTTAAGAGAAACATTGGGTGTTTAATAATAAGAAACTGGTGGAGTCATCCCTGAGTGAAAAAATGCTTCAAACCAGCCAAATTAGATGTTGGATACCTTCAGCTAGAGTCCGCTGCTGTATATTCTTGTGTGTTTTTTTCTTTTTAAATTATCTTTTTTGTGTTTGTAGACCAGAATCCTTGTGTAACAATTCTGTCATCTCCTAGTGCGTGAGCAACATATGTTGCTAATATAGAGGTGTTCTTCGCTTCTTTCATTCAAATATCTTCTTAACAATTTGTTGACTGCAGTGTTCATGCTTACGTTGTTTTTAAAACGGAGGACTGTGCTCAAGCATCATTGGCCCATAATATGGCTGTTGTAGGTTTCCTTTTTTCCTAATTCGTCTTTTTTTCTTACTTTTGAAGATCAGTTTATGACTTGGTTTCACATATATAATAAAAATATATAAGAATTTCTGGTCTGTGCATGAGTGCAGGTTGGGGGAAACCATATTCGTGTTGACAGGGCATGCCCGCCACGGAAGAAACTGAAAGGTGATAGTTCTCCCCTGTTTGATAATAAGAGGACTGTTTTTGTAGGTAACCTCCCGTTTGATGTGAAGGTTAGTTTTGAATC